TGGTGCTAAAGGCAAGCTAATACAGTCACCAAATTCAAAAGGTTTTTTCCACTTGAGAGTATTAATATGCCCAAAGCACAATTCTTCTTTAACCTTAAACCAAATCTTCTTAATCATTATTTGAGATATTCTGGTCACAGATAAACAAATGGGCAAACAGGGGGTTTAGTGAATCTGACTAAAAGACTAAAGTCCCTCAGTGTTAACTATTGATCCAGATAATGTATTTAATCATTTTACATTGATTAAAACGGGGCCTGTATCAGCAATGTAAAGCACATACAATAGTAAATAACATACTGTAGGCAGAAATGAACCTCATACACCAATAATAACTGAGTCTAATATGAGATGGAAAACTACAGAAGTGTTCAGTAGAAGGGTCTCTCTATGAAATCTTTCATCTTTCTATTTCTTTCCAATTTAATTGTTCCTCCGTATTAAACAACAGTCAGGGACTTGATTATGTTTGGAGTTTATAAAAGACAGTAAAGCTTTAGTTCTAACTTCAATAGGTGAATATTGAACCTATTTGTGCTGAATCAATACACTGTCCTCAGAAGGAAGCAGTGTTCTCTTTTTTGTTGATTTAATTCAGGCTTAAACAAGAACGAACAGAAGAACTGAGAGAAAATGGTGGGAGAGCAACAGTTTATTTTAAAAGATGGTACAAAAACTCAGAGGATCTCTTTTGTTTGAGTGTAAGAAATGATGCACAAAGCAGTAATGTATTTAATTATATATATAATATATTTATTATAATGATCTGGCCTTAAAAAAGCTGCATGAGCTTGATTTAAATTTAATTAGCCTAATTTCTAAAGTTTATAAAACGTGTAATTGTAAAGCAGAAAAAGAAAACAGTGGTACCATAAAGAGTCAAAACATGTCACTTTGTTTAAATGAACCAAATAACATTTATCTATTTTCAGTCTTTTTGTTTTTATCACTTGGTAACATCAAAGTAAAGCATATTTTCATTAAATCTATGTGAAGCAAGCGATTCCAGACTTTAGCCTGACAGTCTGTGCAATGGAATCACTCTTGATATTAGCATCTCAATTATCAGCTCTGCAACCTCATACAAACAGCAAATTTGATCAATCCATCGTTATATTATTTCTTCATAGTCAAATTGATCCATCTTCTGTGGTCAGGAATCTTAGTATAACCATGGATTACTGGGCCACCTGACTCTGGTTTCAAGGTGAAGGACA